TTTTCCTTTATCACATCAACAAAACAATTGAAATAAAATGTATACTCCTACATAGATATGGTGTCTTTTCATTATCAGAACATCCATTTAAACAGGACTCACTACAAAATTCTGAAATGGGCAAAAAGCCATGTGTGTTTAACCATCTGTATTCAGAGTAAAACATAATTCTATAGGTTGAAAGAAAAGTCAACTTAAAATCATTCCTTGAAGGCAGTTAAAATAATATTAACAATGGACCCGTGTTAAGTGCCAGTATTGTTGCATGTCCAGCAAGCACAATCAGTTGGTCTCGGTGTGAAGTCCAGTATCATAGAAGTGCTCAGCTCCAGATTTCCTCAGGGTGGTCCCAACATATAGCATCTATCTTTCAGTGGCCCCATTTAGAGCACTCTGTGCAGCAGCAGATCCCAGGATGGCACTCAGAGCACCAGGCTGACCAGATAGTAGACTACCATCTCCCTTTAGAATACCCGTGCATTTCCAATTGTCCATGTAGTTTGCTGGTGAAACAGTCAAATTACAATAAATTAATATCACTCCAGTAGTTGCATATATTCGCGGTTTGTCATTTCAAACTCTCACCTTTCCAGAGTCTCACACAACCATCGTCACCAGAGGAAGCCAGAAGTGTACTGGTGATGTTCCAACTGACACGCCACACCTGAGAGTTATGACTGTCAAACTGGGCCAGCACCTGCACCTCAAATTTAGTGGGCGCTGAAGAAGCGCTGTCCTTTCTGTTAATCAAAAAAAGGCAAGCTAAATGAAGTAAATCTACTGGCATCTAACTAGAATTTAACCAAACATCTCTGTATTGTAAGATTTGGGGAAAAAAGCTTGCATTATTAAAAGAACCCTAACATTATTGAATATTATAATAAATGTATTATAATTCAAAGTACAGATGCAGTGATGTACAAGGTTAAACGGTAAAGACAAATACATGGCATCACTACACGACATATATTGATCCCATTCTACTGTAATAACTTGGTTTCATTTTGCTCACCAAAGTGGAACCAGTTTGAAGATGCGCACATCTTTGGTGGCAATAGCAAGTACATGGAAAGACCGTCCCAGATTGGGAGCAAATGCAATATCATGTACAGCATCTGTAACGGTCATCACTGTCTCTGCTTTGGCATATTTCCTACAACCATGAAAATGAAGTAAAAAAACAACAAAACAAAAAAAAAAAAAAAAAAAACCCCTTTAACT